CCTTCTTATTATCTGCTGGAAAAAGCAGAAACACTCCAGGGAATAACAGACTCTAACAACAATGCACTATATCTTATATTTACAAGATCCCTATACGCTTAAACGTACAGCAGAGAAAATATTGATGCATGTTTCTGTTAGAGCAAAATCCAATCCATGACACAAATTCAATAACTATGATCGTTAGTTTTCATTAGACTGCCATTTGACTGCAGTGCAGCGTTTTGCGAAAAGCTCTGTTGCGATGCTCCCCTATAGGAATTAGAAGAGCCAATCATTTTCTTTGGGGACGCATATTAATAGGCATAGTAATTGGGTTGCTTTGTAAACATAGCCACAGAATGAGAAGAATGAGTGTAATCAGTAACCACAGACATGGCCCTGGGCCTCATGTGCTCACGGTTTCCAATTTCAAACTGGAAAACAATGATAAAACACACTGCTACTGGATGATGCTCCAGCCTAATCCATGGATGGGCAGTTCCAGTTCTGGAGGGCTTTACCAGGGCACAGTTTAGTGGTTTCACACCTGATCCCACTCATCGGCTAATTACCAAGCTCTTGATAAGATGAATCAGGTGTGTAAGAGCAGGATAAACATTAAACTGAGCATTGCTGTGGCCCTTCAGGACAAGGACTATTCAGCTCTACTCCAACCAATGGATTTGGGTTGCATCAGCCTTGCAGGGTTGATAAAGGATCGGCATATAAACCTCAAATTGCAGCTCTACTTCTACAGGGAAGCAATGAAACTGGTTCTGAATGCATAACATGCCCCAATAACTCCAATTATATGCATGTCCACATATGTCTACCTGTAACAAAGTCAAGTCAGGACACGTACTGTATTCACCTGTTCCCCATAGATGCACAAAAGCTGGTGCCTTCCAGGACAAACCTTATCTTTTCTAGATAAGTATATGCTGACATTTCAGTGCAACTTTTGTAATGAAATCCAGGCAGATCCCAATCTATCGCCAGTGACAGCTCATGCTGATAGAATCCCACACTGTGATTGTCAATTGTTTCTCATCTTGTGGCCGCCACCAAAGCCATTTAAATAACCTACATGCAATCAGGTCCTGTCTTAGTAATTGGCGGGTCCATTTAAGCATACATCAAGAAGGATAACGCTCTGGCACTCACTTTGATTCACCAATGATTGCAATACGCAAAAGGGGATGTTTACTGTTTAGCATAATAACAGTAATTGCTCGTCTCTCGACTTAAAATGGGAGAAAAATAGAGACGGAGAGAGAATAAAATGAAACCAGGGAGGAGGAGATTGTGGCTGATGTGATGAACGACATGATTGATTGCTGAAATTGGCCTTTAACAAAATCCGTTCAGCCTTAGCCTCGGGCATAATCACTGACGATCTCATGCCGGTAAATTGCAAATAGTTTGCTTGACCTGTAACCTGTTTCTATGCAGGGAGTCAATGCATTAACAAAATGAAAATTGAGTTGAGCAGAGATTTTAATATTCTCTGTGATGGATAATCTTTAACACTGTCCCACCTTTTCCACCACACATTCGATAAGGCAAATGTGCTAATTAATCACTGGAATGTTTACATGATGGGAATGGACATTCATTTTAAAAACCTGTTAGCACACTGTAGATAGGTAATATGAGAGCTGGAGAATTTGGTGGGAAAAGTGTGCAGGATGGGGGTGTATGTCTAAAACCAAGAGAAGGAAGCAGTGTATGGCTTTGAATGCACTTCACATTTCTATTCTCTTATGAACTATTCATACAGATACATGGATATATTACTCTTAAGGCTTAACGGGGTCCTAGAGATTTCATGCCTATGGTTGAGTGGTTGAGTATTCCCGGGCTTCAGCTAATTTTCAATGCTAAATTAATTATTTATCTGGACAACTTACTATCAGGGGAAATAGGTCAAATAAAGCATGTATGAGGTATATTTTTGCACATTCAAATATCAAGCTAAACTGGAAAAACAGCGATGGGAGCTAAGCGAAAATGGTGCAATAGTCCTTTAATGAGTAAATGAGTTTAATGAGTAAATGAGTAAATAGCCCTGTTATGTTCACAAAGAGACCAGGGGCTGCCATTAAAGTTCTCTCATTCTTGCAGAGTGTGGGCCGCTGTGGCGGCTGCGAGGTTTATGCCATGGGAAGAGTTCAGTGCTTATGCTCCACTGGGGCAGCATACAATGGGCAAGCCTCCACTAAATCAATCCTTCCTTTGACTAGTACCATGACAGTGTGAAAACAGCACATTTGAAAGCATGATTTAAATATCCACAAAGCCTGAGTTAGACAAATGCCAATGGCAAGCCTAACCTAAGAAATGGCTCAATTTCAATAAGTTAAGACAACAATGGGTGGACCTAAGGGGAACCTTTAGTTTCACTTGTCAGTAGCATTAAGACGACCGGCTATTGATTAAATGTACCCAAGCCCGCTTGAGACATTAGCTGAACACACCTGCACACACTCAAAAGCCTAAACGGACAATGCATCAAGTCTGGGCCCTGTCAGTGGCAGCTAATCACTAATTGTGTGTCACCTGCGTTTTTTTGACATGACGGTCCTAAAGTCCAGATGTAAATATTTCAGAAGTGTTGGTTAAGCTGAATTGCTGAGGTAGCTTAGGGCTTGTTCTACTGCTTAGCTAATTACAGCCACTAGAAATCAGTACTACAGGGGAGTATTGACCATAACATCCTGGCTAGAGTGCTCAAGTGAAAAGAAAAAAAAAGGTTTTGAGCTTTCACAAGTGTTTCTTTTTTGAAATACATTTAATGTGAAAGCTCTAAAAGTGTAATTTATATTACTGAAATCACTGTGTGTTCTTTTTGAATACAGACATGCTTATTAGATAGGCTAAATTGAGGCACATGAAGCCTGGTAAAGGAAAAAAAAACCTTATTCAGCTTTCCACACACACAAGGTCAGTAAGATGACTGATGCCAGGAGCTTGACAAGTACAACCAATTATAAACTCAATTTTGCATGTGATAAACTCAACAGTTCTGCATGTAATAAACTACAAGCTTACAATGTCCAGTCCCCACCCCCCAATCATTCGCAGCTAGACTCTAAATAGTGTCAGTCATAGTGCTGGCAAACAGTCAACTACCTGGTACATTTCAGGGACACAAAAAAGGTCATGGTACAGATGGTCTCATGTTATGCATGTGCTAATATCTAGGTTAATTGTGTTGTAAAACCGATTGCAAATCACTATTAAAGAGGAGGAATGCCATATTTCTCTCAATGACACCACCAATGGCCTGGTATTCTACCAAACAGCAAAGACCATTTGCCCTTGGGCATTCCAGTTGCCTACACTTTTTCTTCTTAACTTCTCTGCATAGTAATGCTAATTTGCTGAGATGTAAAGAGGCAAATTTTTGCGACATTTTTAATTCAGGTAAATTGATGAGTCCAGACAGATGGTACATGCTACCTATGCAAATCCTCTATGATGAGTGAATGTTTATCATTAAAATTTAAATTCTTTCAGCTGTTGATTTTTTGTTTCCTGTCTCATCCATTTGATATTTTGATCATTTGATTTGATTATTCTTAAAAGGGATAAGTTTTTCTGGTGGGATATGTGGGACATTGAGTAAGATGATATATCGTAGTCTATGCCAGCTATACTGATCTGCAGGACATTAATAGAGATTATTATTGTTCGACATAGCCTGCTACGTTTTGATAAGTGGGGAGCAAAAACATAAGCAATAGTATATACGCTTTAGATATGAGAGGATCAGAATTTGCAATACTAATATCGCAAGCACATGCACTGGTCTTGAAACAATAACTCAATGTGTCATTCTGTGCTGTGTGCACTTTGACCCACATCACAGATCACAGATGTTCTTTGGGTGTTTGAATGGGTCATGGTATTCACATGAACCAACACACATACATACCTTTGGTCAAAAATAAATCTGCCCCAATAGTATTAACCATACCTATAAGGGTTCACTAAACTGATATCATTATACTGGAAGGTATATTGCAATCGCATCATGTAGCAATATTATATTTTGGACAATTTGTGTAGTCCTTACCAGAACAGACAACTACTGCCTTAACTGTCCCTCCATAAACTAGGGATGGGTATTTCAGTCAAATTTCATATTTAAATCCATAAGGCATTATTCCAAAAATATTTGAAACCTTACCCCTACCAAACAAAAGCAGAGAAAAGCTGGCAAAACGCTGTGTCATAACAGCACCACTCGGCATCTCACTATTAGTGCACTATATTAAACCTAGAACACAAATCCTTAATGGGTGACATGACTTTAAACCGAGCCAGTCTAAATATACATAGCCTAACTAGCCTAACCACGCTGTAACTTATATCCTGTCATACTTTAAGCTTGAAAACAGCATGGTGAGGCATTTCTAATCCAGGGTTTGGTAGCCTTTAGATGGCTATCTAGTGGTGCTCTGTTTCCTCCATTGTACTAAACAGTGTAGATTCTCTGACCAAACCAAGTCACAGATTCTACACTGCACACTTAGTGGATTACTGAATTCTTATCATCTCACGGTTTTTAAATATGAGAATGTACAATGTCAGAGAGAAGCTAAATTGCATATCAAACAATCTAATTTACTACTTGATTTTTAAACTTTCATGACCACTATAAAATTCTGACTCATCCTTAATATAAATACACTAGAGTCTTAATTAGCTCTAAAATAGTTTATCTAGGTCAGCTTCTAACCCAATTTTTTTCAAATACTACAATATCTATCACAAAAATTTAAAGAAAACATTACTCAGCCCTAGACCGCAGTACTCCGAGTGACAACACTGTAAAATAAAGCAAAATGCCTCCCATTATGGAGCAAAATAACGACACATCAAACTGATCCACAGAGAAAGATTGTTACATTCTTGTTGATAACCTGTAAATGCAGACCACTGGCAACTACCCAAAATGACGAAGTACTGTATTTGTTAGAAAGCTGAGTGAAAAGCACTAGATGGTGCCTTACCTGTGACTGACAGTTCAGTGGTTCTTCGAACCACAAAGTTTCCAAACTTTAATTCACACGTGTAATTTCCAATGTCGTCTTCTCTGACTTCCTTAATGGAAAGGGTATCTCTCCTCCTCACGATGCTTTGCCGCCAATGCTTGGGTTTACACTCCTTTAGGATGAGAGAGAAAGAGAGAAGGGATACAATGGTGTTCATGATAACCCCATATTCACATTTCATTTTGCTGACATGTTAATAAATTGATTTGAAATGGGAGGGCTTTCAGTGATGTCAACAGAATGGGTACATTAAATTTCAGACTTGACAGTGTTTTGACAACAGCTATAATTTCTGCTTTGAACAGTGGCCTTGGCAAAGGATGCGTAATGTGTGTGTCAATCAACATATTTAGTACTTATTAATTTCCAGTTTGATGAACAGATGAGTTCATTATTGTGGCAGAGAGAGAATCCTGAAACAGGATTAAGGTTAAGGTGCTATGTCCATCTTTCAGTCATATGGGAGGCAAATCCAGCCAAAAAAGAAATTAAAATTGAAACAATAAAATGTAAATGCAAGCCTCTTTTTGCCATTTATTTTTCCAAACATCTGTGCTAATATCCTGCCAAAATTGAAAATGAAATGAAATACCCACATTTGCAATTAAATTTTTCACATAGGCACGAGCCATTTGTGACAAAAAGAAAAATAAATTTAAAACAGCTATTTGTCATTTCATTTTAGTCCTTATTCTGGTATTTCATGGCCATTTTTAAAATGGAAAAGCTAGTAGAGAAAAGAAAATGCAAGCTTCACTTTGGCTTTGCCTTTTCTTCATAAAATGCATAATATGTGTCAAAACTAAAATCAAAATACAATGTTTATGTTCTTATTTCTTTTTCATAGCAATAGTCTGCATACCTCACAAAATTAAAATGAAAATGCAAAACGCATAAATCAACAGCAAAGTGACAGTGTGTGATTTAGTTTTTGGCGTGGATGCGCTTTAAGTGTCAGAATAAAAAGGCAAATGCTGGTGATGTTCTTTTGAATTCCCACTTTGCTTTTTCGTTTTCGAGTTGACCAACATGCAAATATATGTTAATTAACATTAGGCAGGGCTACGGGGTACATTTTAGGACATCCTCAGATCTATACTTCATGGGTGTTTGCTACTTCTAATGATCGACGGCATTTTGTGTGACGGTGTGTGATCTGATACCTTTTTTTCTGAGGCCGTTTGGTCTGATCAGTTACACCAGATCTGAGACATGATGATGGTTTTCCCGAGACTCTAAGTCGTTCAGTTCGAGGAATGATGTCGTTCTGACGCGGAGGTCTGAGAATGTCCTAAAATGTACCCCGTAGCCCGGCCCAGTGCTAATTAACATATATTTGCATGTTGGTCAACTCGAAAACAAAAAACCAAAGTGGGAAATGAAAAGTAAATCTCCAGCAGGTGGTGCTGATGTTTGTTTCCATTTGCCTTTATATTGTGACACTTAAAGTGCGTCTAGGCTGAAAACCGAATCGCAAACTGTCACTTTGCTGTCACTTTGATTTATCCATTTTGCATTTTCATTTTAATTTCAGGTATGCAGACTATTGCTATGAAAAAGAAATAAGAATGTAAACATTGCATTTTGACTTTAGTTTTGACACATATTATGCATTTTATGAAGAAAAGGCAAAGCCAAAGTCAAGCTTGCATTTTCTTTTCTCTATTAGCTTTTCCATCACGACCCAGAAGGATAAGCGGTTTAGATGATGTATGTATGTATGTATGTATGTATTAGCTTTTCCATTTTAGATATGGCCATGAAACACCAGAATAAGGACTAAAATGAAATGACAAATAGCTGTTTTAAATTTATTTTTATTTTTGTCACTAATTACTCGTGCTTATGTCAAAAATTAAATTGCAAATATAAGTATTTCATTACATTTTCAATTTTGGCAGGATATTCGCGCAGGTTTTTGGAAAAATAAATGGCAAAAAGAGGTTTGCATTTACATTTTATTGTTTTAATTTTAATTTCTTTTTGGGCCGAATTTGCCTCCCATATCAGTTATTCCCCCTTTTTCTTTGCACCCCTGCACTCACTCTCCTCATTTGAACTCTCCTATAGCAGGCTTCCCTGTAGGTCAGCCTCCACCTGCATTCAGAGTGACTGTATTCAATCAAACCTGTTACAGAGCCACAGAAAATAACCAGGGGGCTTCCTAGTCCACAGCCATTATCCCTCTTTTAATTTGATTCACAGAGAAACCAAAGAGGAGCCGCAGCCATCTAATCCGACACTCATCTACTTTTGATGAATTGACCAAGTGCCTACTCCTCCAGTATGCAGTTAGCCGTGGGCAGCCAAAGCTGGCAGAGGCCCTGGATAAACTCCCATAACTTTTCCTTTTCTGGCTCTGTGTGTGGGGTTCTTTTTTAGCACTGCACCACCTCAGGGCATGTAAGGTAATCACAAGCAGAAAAGTTCATTTTCTACACCCTTCCTCTATACAGATATGTTTCAAAGCACTAAGCATAAAACACAAATCAGAACACATCAAGATACAAGTGCATGTGTTTTCAAAGTCATTGAGCAGTTCTGTGGTAAGTAGAGAGAGCAACCAAGTCAGAGTATGAGATATTTTGGGCTCATTTTACTAAATTTAATGACAACACAACTAAATACAATATATGTAAAACAAGTGTTGCGTGTAATGGGTGTAACACCAGTAACCTCATGAAACACTTACAAATACAACATTCTGTAAATCCTAAGTAGTGCAGCGGATTTGCTTTAGAAAGCAACGAAATGTCCTATGGTAGTGCATAGGTATTTAACTACATAAAAGTCTAGGTAGGATACTTTGATTTTTGAATCACCTTATCAAAAATGCTACCAGAATTAAAACTACAAAGCTAAAGCCAGCTTCGTGTTCAAATTTTCCCCTTCCGCCTTAAATGGTGCATGCCTGCGCCTCAGCTGTTATAATAATAACTAATGCACCATTTGATGTGTAACGGTAAAATTCGAACAAGAAGCTGGCAGATAGGAAGCCAACTTTAGCCTTGTGTTTAAACTACAGGTAGGATAGTTTGATAGTCTAAATGTCCATATTAGAAAATGTTTCCAGCATTGAAAAAATAATTAGGATATTCTGATATTGTGATATTCTGATAACTCATGAGGGGGAAGTACTACTCTTAAGCTGAGTCTGTACTGAATTCTGTAGCCAATAGCTAACATAGCATAAATTGCCAACTTCTAGGTAGCGTAAGTTTGAACTTACTGTGAGCTGTCCTGACAACCAGGGGTAAATCATTTTGTACTGCTTATGGTTGCTAGTATTTTCAACTGTAGGGATATGACCACAGCCTTTTCACATCTTTTCATTTTGAATCTTTTTTCATCTTTCCACATATTTTCATGTCATGTTCATTTTCTGCACCAAGTAATGGAGAGTAGGATCAATAAGAGTATTGATAGACATTATTAGTATTGATAAAATCCTAACAATGCCCATACCTTTCCGAGAGTTTTTTTTTTTCGTTTGTTTTTTTAAGATTGTTAACACATGACAATGGATCTACACCAAACAAGGTAGGTGCAAAAGCATCCTTAGAAAATAAACAGGGTTCTGAAGGAAAGGAATATATATGCATACATGCATCTTACCTTGTACCATACAATCTCTGGGTCTTTGCCAGGCTGGACATAGTCCTCTATGTCAGGACAGAGGATGTCCTTCCCTTTGCTCAACTCAGCCTTCTCAAAGTACTTCATTTTGGAGTTATAGCACAGGTCTGTGTCATTCTCAGACACTGTCAGCGACATAGACACTTTCATGCAGTATGTGGAATTTCTGCAAAAGAAGAAAAGTAAATGAAAGTTTGAATAAACACTGTTCATGATGCTGCTGCAATCTTTTAAAATAAAAAAGAGATGCACTGTGGTTTTCTTTGTCTTTGTCCTTTTTTTTGGAAAGCTCAAAGCCAGCTTTATTTTCCTTTTCATAACCATCCAGAAACTTTAATAGGATAAAATTTACTTTAATAGGATGATAAATCAGTCAATTATGTTATACATTGTTACATTGTTGCCAGCATTTTTGTCCCTGCATCAGAACAACCCAAATCACTTAAAATAGACAAAGCCTATTTCTCAGGTTGGTTAGAATGCTGCTTTCAGCAGCACAACAGAGTGCAGTAACAGCCACAGTTGAATTTACTGGAAAACAACTCCCTAAATGCAAATAGGTATGAAAACAAACACCAGAACAGAACAGATATATGGAAACCTGGAGAGGACAAAGTGCACTTGGTAAGCACAAGGCAGATGTGATGAAGTATAGCTCATAGGATTATGAGGATAATCTTGTTGGCCAACAGAAACAGTACAAGCAAAAGTGTAAGTATAAAATGCTATGGTTCATTCTGAAATAAAAGGACTCTATTTTATTATGGTGGACTGACTACCTACAGTCTGCATTATGCACCAAAAAGAACACATGCCCCACTTTTTTCTCAGCAGCCCTATTACACTGCCACACTAGTCTAGGCATTCCACGTAATTTGTACATCCTTAAAAATGCTTAACATTAATGTTGTACATATGATACATTCTGTTATATACACTGTATTAATGTTTGTTCAATGTTTCTACATTCGACAAAGCAAAAATTAGCCTGCTAGCATGCTAAAAACCCTAACTCTTGCATAACTGAGTAAAGTGCCACTGAAGTGCCTAGAGTGTGTTTATTTCCACAACCCAATTTAAATGACAGTTTAACAGAAATAAGTCAGTTTACATACAAATCAGCTTACAAGTCCACCTAATTTAAAACAAAAGTTCAACTGCTTAGCCATCTTCTGGATTATAGCAGCTAACAACACAAAAGAAGCAAGATGACACATCAGAAACGTTAAAGAACTCACTTCAACAAAAAGATGGGGTTATCCGATCTTGTTTAATGTGAGAGGCTACAGCAGGTCTTAGCTACTTGGTTAGTTTTTGAAGAACATGGTAAATGTCCAACAGTAAACAGCATTTAGGTAGACAAACATGATCATGGCTTAGGAAAGCAATATTTATAAACAAGATCAAACACTGCCTATCATTTGTCACTGTTATGATACAGACCTGGGTAATTTTGCAATCACAGAACGGCTTCAGTACAGACAATGTGTTTTGCTTGTCTTCCAGAGGAGACAAGTGGAAGTCCGACTGACATTCTCATAACACCAACATGAAAATAATATCATTCCCTCTGCCTGGCAACGCATGCTGTCGGGAACATTACAAATGCCTGCAGAAATGCATTGTGTTTGCTCAGCCATTTTAGCATGAATATCGATGATGGAGGAGAGATGAACCTGGCCAATCTTGCATTATCTATTGAGAAAACTTGGGGGGGTAGACGAAATGGAGGGATAAAAGAAGGTGAATGAAAAAAAGGAGAAGCTAATGCTGGAAGGCAGGCATGATAGTCAACAGCACCGAAGATTGATTGAGGCCTTTGTTTTCACATATTATGCAGATACAGTGCAAGCTAGCAGAAAATTACTTGCCAGAATTGATGTTCTGTAACTGTTCACTCATGACAAAAGTTTGAAAAGGAGGAAAAGGATTAGAAACAGCTGAACAGCTAGGTTTAAACAGGGGAGAGCAGAAACCAGCATTAGGTATAGTTCTGTAGCCCAACATGTGGTGCCGCTAAGCTCAGACTGTAATTTCACTTCATGTCGCCTTTTATTAACTCAACCCTGGTTCGGAGCTTGTACAATCTATCAATAACAGGACGCAGCCCATCATATAAGCCAAAGCCGGCAGGAAAGGCCAGCAGCAAACATGTCTCAAGCCACTGAGCAGTCAGAAAATTCAATCACCACATCCACTTCCCTAACCACGGGCTAGCTAACCTATCTGAGCTATGGACTTCTAGCCTGATTAACAAGCTAGTAGAGATGCAGACTCTGGCTTGTTCCAGTTGGCTGATCTTTGGGCAAAAAGCCCACACGGACCATCAAGATCAATGGACAGGGCTATTGACTGGGTGAAACAGTGTTACAAGAGAATTCAGAAGCCGATGATCAATGCATCCGATCAGACCATATGCCTCCATCCATGCTAATACTGCTAACAGGCTTGCCTCAGCCAGTCAGAGTTCAATAGTCCATCACTGACGCTGCAGCATACATGGACTTCCAGATAGGGTTGCCTCCTGCAAGGTCTTCAGGTCTGCAGGCCCGATCAGTGAGGGATAACTGAAATTTAGCATTTAATCTTTAGGAAGGAAAAGCTGATTAGAGTCAGTCAGATGAAAACACTCTGCTGCAGCTGGACCTGGCACTATGGTGAGCTGAGCCACAAGCTGGCCACAAATCTCTGCGTTGGACAGGCTAAATGCACCGCTGGCTCAAGTGGTGCACTTTTATGAAGCGCAGATGTAAATGCAACATGATGTGGAGATTATAAGAAACACAGCACAGCAGATGGACACCTGTGCAAATGAGATCCCCCGAGCCCCCCACTGCTGCTAAATATTCCAGGTAGCACTGCTGAACCTGTCCATGGGGAACACACAAGCATGTCCAAAGAGGGAGAAGTGATCGATGGACTAAGCCAACTCCTACAACACCTTTCCAAACCCAACGCCTCTCCTACTTTGTGATATTTGGCCTACAGCTCTATTTTTTTTTATTATTTACGTTTTTCTTTCTTTCTTTCTTAATGGGCAATATGATAGTAAGTTATTGTCATCATAATGAATGCTGGATACTGGAATACTGAACAACTGCATTTATCATAAAATTACCAATATTTAGACCAAGATTTAGACCAGTTATAGAGAGCCTTTAAACAGCAACAATTTGCTACTTGTCACTATGCAGTTTGACTACCCAAACTGCATAGACTCTCAATTTATGATTGGATATTAATCTTATTTTATTACTTTTACCAGTTGTTTGATGTCTTGTTTAAATGTGGTCTATTATATTGTTGCTGCATTTGTTGTGTTCCAACATGTACATTAACTTGTACAACTGAAAAATCATGATACATATTGTGTATCGAGAAAATGTTCTCAAATATTGAGATGCTATATTTTTGCCATACTGCCCACCATTTTTTCTTTTCCTCTTTCTTTTCCTCATTTAGATTAGACCTGCAGCAGGCTGGTTATAATGGTGCTCAGGTAGATAAGTGAAGAAACAGTTGTACACTTGACATAACTGGGATTCTGTAGACAAGAAGAAATGAAATAATAGTAAAATAACATCAAAATGGTATGACTGTGTGTGTGTGTGTGCGCATGTGTGTGTCTGCTCTGGTATGTCTATCATTGCTAGGATGAAGATGGCAGGGCAACTGTAAAGCATTACCGAGTGAAGAAAAAAAATTGTCTGGTGACAAAAAAACAAAAAAAAGTTCATTTCTGTGACAGCTCGCTGTTCAGTTTGCACTCAGAGTGGGAGTAGTGAATAACATTTCTGTTGAAAAAAATCTGCTGAGTTGCTGATGGTGCTGATATGTGTTTCACTGCTGATACTGCATGGACTGGGTGTGTGTGTGTGTATGTGTATGTGTGTGTCTGCATGTCCGTGCATATGATTGCCTGTTAAGGAGAAAGTGGCCCTGCAAATGTGCAAATGTCTTCAAATTCCCTAAGTAATGGAAATTTTTAGCTCCAGTAGCTCAGGCTTTTCTTACTCATCTTTTCTCATGCTGTTTCACTTGTCAGTGAGTTGTTCAACATTTAAAACTTTCCATTTGACCAACTCTTGTCAGGGTCACCTCCACATTTGTCTGAAAATGGAGGATGCAAAGTGAGAAAAAGAAGACATCCATATGCATAAGGCGTTTCAGTGGGTGAAATACTAGGAGCTCTACAGTTCCCTTGATGAAGTCAGAAATGGTAACCATTAGTTCCTACTGTTTAGGGGAGTCTGCTTTTTGAAAAAGAATACTAAGCCACTTCGGAATCAAAAATAACACTCTAATATATAATTAACAGTACAGTGCAAAAGTCTTTGACATCTGAGTAAATTATATGTAAAACTACTAATCTGGGGAGTAAGTATTTACTTGTTTTAAATAAACACTAACATTAAAATCAATACAAATAAATAAAACATTGTGATCTGATGTCACACTGTTATGAGATTTTGAAATCTCTCCTTGAGGAGGTCCAGTATATACAGTTGCCATCGAATGCTTTGTCTGGTTAAACAGTCTTTCAGCAATGGGACAGAATAGAACAGGGTTGCCAGCCACCTAGTGGTAGGAGAGGTGAGCCAGCTACTGGGAGGTTGCAGGTTCAAGTCTCAGGACAGCGATTCAGTATACCCAGTCATGCCCTTGGACAAGGCACTTAACCCCTCCTACTGGCCCAGGTGGTCTTCTTTGCTGGGGCTGTTGGTGCTGCCAGACTGGACATAGTTAAGTGGCAAAATGGTCAATTTCCCTTGTTGGATGGATGGATGAATAAATACATAAAAAATGTCATAATGATTTAACAAATCCTTGCAGTGGCTGGAGCGCACTGAGAAGTCATCAGGAATTCTTTTAAATGTGTCTAACCAAGATTTTAACTTATTTAAAAACACACAATTCTTATTGTTTTTTTTATTATATTTGTGTTCATTTGTAATTACTCTAATGTGTCAGTTTGTGAAAAGAATAGTTTTTGTATTTTTAAAATGTTTTAAGATCTTTTCTTTTTCTTTTAAAATGAAGTTGAAAGATTTTGATTCATGAGTTTAATTTTTAAATAAAACATAATAATTAAACAATGCAGTCCCAAGTTTTCCTTGCATTACCAAAACACCACAGACAGAGGCGTACTTTAGCAACACCCCTGCG